AACTATGCCTTTAAAAATCCCCTAGTGTCTCAATCTGAAGTGAAAGAAACATTAACACTGGCATTTTTTCCTTGTTTTTTTGCGTCTTTTCTCTTAACTAATCTGGAAGCTCCTCATATTGTATAAAAGCCGCTTCACTATCGCCTCAAGTCAACGCCGCTCTATTATCAGCTCTTTTTCCTTTAACAAAATGTTGTATTTTGTGTTGTGTTTTTCACCTGAGCTCAAGGGGGACTAAAAAGCCCGTTGATGTCAATAACTATATATTTTTCCCTCCGCGGCGGCTGAAGATGAGGTCTAATCGAATGGATATTAAAGTCACAATAGACTGCTTCTGCTATTACGGCCTGTCAAGCACGGCCCTTTCTCTCAAAGATTAGTTTCTCCTGCTGAATATTTATACACTTACTGTAGGCTTAACCTCACAGTCAATGGCGTTTCATTGCACTTCTGCTCTATTCTGTGCTCTCGTCTTTCATTTCTCTGCTCTTCTCACCTCTCTTCTCCTCTTGTTCTCTCGGATTCACTCGCTTGTCTAATTAAAGTGCTTCGGGATGCACAATGTCATTATTTACAGGCATTATTTGACTGCCAATACTCTCTCTTTGGTTTTTGCAGCGCTAATGCTTTTTGTTTTGGTGAAGTGTCTTGTTTAAGTGGCGCTAATGATTGGAGGAGTGCGTGTTTGTTTTTGTAAATTAGTAGCTGCAGGGTTTACTTGGTCTTTAAAGTAATTGAGAACTTGGAGTATGTTAATTGTATAACTCCTGGAAAAGCCACTTGTTTATTCTATGGGCTCTATTTTGACGGTCCATGCGCAGAGCACAAAACACAAGGCGCAAACGCTTTCAGGACGTGTCAGAACGCATTTTTGCTAATTTAAGGACGGGAAAATCTGCTTTGCGCCATGGCGCATGGTCTAAAAGTGTTGAGTTTATTTTCTTAATGAGTTATAGGTGTGTTTTGAGAATAAACCAATTAGAGTCTCATCTCCCAGCCAGCTGCGTCCACAGCACATTCACTATTTACAGGACGTAAAGTAAGTCTAAGTGGAAAAACTGAGCATTTCACTAGCAAACAGTTAACAGTTTTTATTAACAGAAAACTGTTAAACAGAGCATCTACTGCGTGAGAATGAGCGATATGGATCACTTTCACTTTCGCTCTTGGATAGGGAAACCTTTACGCACAGACATCAATTAGTCTATAAATAATTAATTGCGTTTGTTAAGCGCAAATATTCATTTAAAAACTGTTTCTAAATTCAGTTATAATTTCCAGCAAACGAATAAATGAACAATATTAACAAAGTGTTAACGAAGAGTTATATCCTAAAACACATGCTGTGCCCCATATAATCTAAAACCTGACAGGTGGGCAAATCTAAGCTTGTTTTTAATAAAACAAATATAAATATGGATATAATAAATAATACTGCTAATTATAGTAATATTATACAAAAGCAAATTGTTATGAATGAACTGAAAAAGCCTCCCGAGATGAAGAAGACATAAAAGCAGTGGTTTTTCATATTTATGTAGGCTAGAAAATAATATGTTTTGTAATATTTTAATCATTTATATTTATATCCTTTATCAATTTTCATTATATCCTATATATATCCTTAATATTTAAATTTTTTCATTTCATTTTCATATTTAATTTTCATTTAAATATAATTTTCATTTTCCGGCGCAACTCTGCGCCGGAGTTTAGACTGGGTTTGTTTTGGTCTAATGAAAAATCTGTTTTAGTTTCTCAAAATAGCAACGCGCCAGCAGTGCGCCTCAGAACGCCTGCCTTTTTAGACCAGAACGCCTATGGGCGCACAAATGAGCGCTAATGCATTTGCTATTTAAACAGCGTAGCGCATCGCCTCAAAACAACTCTTGCGCCAAGCTGAAACTACCAAAAAAGTATTGCGCCGCGCCTTGCGCCACATTGCGCCGGGTGTATGATAGGGCCCTATAAGTCTGAATAGTTATTAACAGGGTTTCCACAGGGTCTTAAAAAGTCAAAAATTTAAAAAAATCTATATTTTAGGCCTTAAAAAGTCTAAAATTCGTTGTTCTGGGTCTTAAATATTTTTGCACAGGTCTTATTTTTCCGATGTCCATGTAACGCTACATCTAATGCTCATTTAAATTCTTTTTTGTTGTTGTTGCTTGGTTTTCCTGGTGTTGTAGTTCTTTCTTTCACTAGTCAAAATGTAATTTGCGGTATTACAACTACAAATGAGACCAACATGCAATAGCCAATCAGCTGGCTGTTATCGAACTCAGTGCGCGTGGCGAATGTGACATTATCACAGAGTTTGCGGAGGTCCGCTGAGTACGCGCTACATTATTATTAATTTTTTAAGACTCGAGCAAACAGTTTACACGGCGCCGCATTTCATTTGAGTTGAATATGAATCACTTTGAAGAGATTTTGTCTGAAACAGGTGCACCTGTACAGACATCTTTATGATCCGTCCATGCGTCATCATAGAGATAACCAGATGAACAATAATTCTTAGCTAGAAATTGCAACAGCTGTGGAAAAGGAAGAATGTTTTTGATAAAAATGTTTGGAAAAACCTGAGGGATACGTTTGTGAAAGCCAAAAGCGGTCATTGAAAAAGTGATCTAGGTACACAATTACAGAATATGCTTTTCCACCAGTCATAGGTTTTACACTGATGTATAAATTACAATTTTAAATTTAAAACAATTTAATATTTACAAAACTATAATTAAAGAAAAATGTTTTCTTTGATAACTGGAAAGGAATATTTGAACCTATAGGTTTGCGATATACTGATGTCCTGTTTTTCCAGGCTTTATTGGTGATAATGGTCAAGAATGTTGGACCATTATTGCCCTTTTAGCAGAAGTAGAGGACAGAATCTAACCAGCCAGCAATGTGTGAATTGTTGATTGGGTTAAATAAAAAAAAGTTTTTTTCTTGCCATAATAAAAAATATATTTGCAGAGCAACCCATGTTCTGTTGACATTAATATTTAACTTTAATAGATGTAACTGTCTGAGATATGAACAGAAGCAAGTGATGCATCACAAATTTGATTTAAAATAAATATATTATTAAAGCTATTCCACAATGTTAGGCAAATATAAAAAAATAATAAAAAACAATTAGTTAAAATATCTTGAATGACATTAATGATATGACACACACATACATTTATATATATATAGATGTGTATATATATAGATGTGTAAATATATAGTTGTGTGTGTATGTATATATATTTATTTATATATATATATATATATATATATATATATATATATATATATATATATGTGTGTGTGTGTGTGTGTGTGTGTGTGTATATATGTGTGTGTGTGTGTGTGTGTGTATATATATATATATATATATATATATATATATATATATATATATATATATATATACATACGTCATATCATTAATATCATTCAAGATATTTTAACTAATTGTTATTTATTATTTTTTATTATATTTGCCTAACATTGTGAAATAACTTTAATAATATATTTATTTTTAAAAGTTACCTCCACTAAATGATTATATTTGAATTATTTTTGAGGTTACATTGTAAAAAATATCCATAAATGTGCAGTTTTTCATATTTTGTGATTCGTGTTTCAATTATTTTTTTCTTTTCTCTGTTTATTTCTGCTTTTGAATTACAATATTGGATCTGGATTTTCATCCACAAACTTTTAACCTTGATGAGTTAAAAAAAAAAATTGACTTTTATAAAAACGTTCATAATTTAAAAGTGATATTGTCTTGGTTGGTGTTGTATATTATGCTACAAAAACCTTGCAATAAGCTGCCAGTACATTTCTGTTATTTTACAGACCTATTTCTCTAGATATTATTTCTTATACATTATATTATATACAGTATGTGTTTTACATTTTATTTATTAAGCTTTTTTTTTTTTTTAAAAAAAAGCAGTGTATATGTGTGGATTTTTTAATCATAATTATCAATAATGCTGGAAACAGTCACCTAATATTATGGAGTAATATCTCCACCAAACGATCATATTTAAATCAGATTTGAGGGTACAATGTACAAACGAAGATGAATAAATTCACAGTTTTCCGTATTTTGTGATTAATTTTTAATTTATCTTTTTTTATTTTCTCTGTTCATTAATGTTTTTGAATTGCAGTATTAGACCTTCAACTTTATTCCAAAACTTTTAACCTTGATAAGTGTCTTTTATGAACATGTTTAATAGTTTAAAATGATATATTGTCTGGGTTGGTGTTGAATATTGCGCTACAAAAATTTTGTAATAAACTGCCAGAACACAGTTATTTTGCACTTATTTCTCTAAATATTATTTCTAATACATTATATTATTTAAAAGTACTAAAATGTCAATAAAAGTCAGTTTGTTAAACAATTTTCAACAACAAAAGTGGACAGAGCAGAGATCAAGGTCCCATAATGCAATTCACAGCCGTAAATAAATGGAAAATCTTTATGAATCACAAAATACGGAAACTGTTAATTAACAGATATTCTTTGCAGTGTATATTGAAGTAATAGCGCTAAAATGCAGCTTTGAGTCACAAGAACAAATTGTTTTACTATATATAATATATTTAATAACATATATAATACGGTAGCACTTTATTTTGATGGTCCATTTGAATATTAGTAGACTGTCTGCTTAATATCTGTTGATACTGCTCCTTCAACAGACATTTAACTGACTATAACATCGAAATAAAGTGTGACCAAAAGTACATCTGAATGTTAAAGCATGTATACCATACATGTATTGTCTACAAATAGCTCCTCTTTTGACTTATTTATTGTTACATAATAGAAAAATAAATCAGGTGAAAATAATGAATGAATGAATCTTCATACGCACTGTAAATTTTAATGCTCATCGTCAGGGGTTTGTCACAAAGCATTAGTAATCATGATTATAGTTATTTAGCTGCACCGCTAATGTCAATCTCTCTTTTCCTCTGTGTGTTTCTGTCAGGTGTGGCTGTGGCTCAGCAAGCGCAGGGCCAGTCGAGACGTTTGACCATCATGGATGTTGATGAGGAAGAGAACATGAGTGAGTTTTCATATCCGATCCCAAATCTTCTATCCACCAGCACAGAACCTCCACACAACCCTGAACTAATGTCACTTAGTGAACAGTTCATGTGCTTTCTTCCCTCTGTACCTCCCTCACACTAAATTATCCCAGCAGTCCCAGCGGTACGACAGTCATTCTTTTGTAGAGCCTATTTATATAGTTTGTATACACTTCTGTTCATTCTGAGCGTTTATTTTTATCTCCTCGTCCGCACGGCAATGGATTTAGGTCAATTTGTAATGTAAATGTTTATTTTAGGGTGAAATATCCATTAATTAAAGGTGCAGTATGTAAGTTTGACAACCAGTGGTTGAACTAGGCTAGTGCATGCCTCGTTTCAAACACACAAGCGCAGGTTGCCAGATAGACGACTTAAACAGAAGTGTGCCTAATGATGTGATCACAGCAGATGAGGATGAATCGTTAAGCGCGAGTGATTTACATGTTAAGTCAATGCAAAGACGTGAATAGACATCCCGCAGCACGATTCACATGAATGAGGTTGTGTGAATGACACAATTCACACGAATGAATTGCAAATCGCATGAGTTGGAAAATCTGAACTTCAGCGAACATTTACGCCGTGTTAACCAATCATGAGCTTGCTCTTTTTAGGGGCGTGATTATGACATAGTGCCTGTATTTGGTCTCCCGAAGGCAAATCCTCTTGCTGACACCGGACAATGTTTCATCAAACTGGGCTTAGCTCAGTCTGAAGCACCGCTGAAAGCCTCCATCATCCAGGTATAGTTTCTGGAGGAGTTGATGAACTCACAGAGCTGGATGCACCTCTGAGAGGATCTAGTGGTTGATTGATATAAGCTGTTTTTCAGCCTTCATAAAGCACAGCTACTATCGCAATAGAATCTACGTTAGCCATTTCGCACCAAAGTTAGAGTCACCGGGCAGACAGAAACCCTGCCTATGAAGTGAATTTGTGACTATTGTGAAGTGAATTTGACTCACGAATGAAGCGAAATTGACCCGCAAATGAATCGAAATTGACGCCCAAGTTAAGCAAATTTGACGCGCAAATGAAGCGAAATTGATGCGTGAATGAAGCAAAATTGATACGTGAAGTATATTTGACGTGTGAATGAAACAAATTTGACACCCAAATGAAGCTAAATTGATGCGCGAATGAAGCGAAATTGACACGCAAATGAAGTAAATTTGACCAACGAATGAAACGAATTTGACGCCCAAATGAAACAAATATGACGCACAGATGAAGCAAAATTGCCTCACGAATGAAGGGAAAGTGACGCACGAACGAAGCGAAATTGACGCACGAATGAAGTGAATTTGAAGCCAAAATGAACCGATTTGACGCACGAATGAAGCGGATTTGGCGCACAAATAAAGAGAGTAAACAAAATTTATTTACTGCGTAAGCCCTGTCTGGTGTGAACAAAACCTTACCATTTTGTTGGAGTGCAGTAAGTGTACTATTCTGTGCTTCTTAATGGCTGTATTTAAATTTCTGTTGTGTTTCGTCTGGTGTAAACAACCAAATTGCTCATCACTACGGATCTCGTCACATAGCATGTTGTTAGGACACGGGTTACAATGTAACCTGCTCACCTAAAGTATATGTTTGTAACATTTATATTATGTGCTAATTAATATCCACCTCATGTAGAGCTCTGAGTCTCATTTCAGAGTTTGCTACTGTCCATCAAAGATCACATTTCGGTCAAGGACACATTCTCTGAGAGCATTCCTGACTGACTAAATGAAATATGCTGTTTTCCAACAAGGCAGCCCGGGGTGCTGAAATATAATTGGCTAAACTGACATTGGTCTTGTTAAATGACCAAAATAAAGACAGCCGTTCCGGCACATAACTCGGATTTTCAAGCAGAAAAATTGTTTTTCAGATGAACAAGAATCTTTACATGGCCTGTTTCCTAAATATCTGTGAACGTATTATGGTATTTTTATGCTTTAGAAGAGTCAAAAATTGACATACAGCACCTTTAAGACGAATGCTTGCTTAGTTTCTTCACAATTCTGCCAATTTATATGAATTGTTTGATTAAACGATTTACTCGTTAAGACTGGGACTTCGTTCTTGACAGTTTTAGTCTCGTATTTATATATTCACGATGGGACTAAACACAAAATAATGTTTAATTAACATTAACAAAACAAATTCCAAAAAAATAGAGAGATATCTTTGGTCGCATGACCTTACAGTTGAAGTCAAAATGATTAGCCCTCCTGTGTAATTTTTTTCCTTTTTAAATATTTACCAAATGATGTCTAACAAATTCAGGAATTTTTCACAATATTTCCTATGATATGTTTTTTTCTGGAGATGGTCTTAGTTGTTTTTTTGTTTTTTTTTTGGCTAGAATAAAAGCAGTTTTTAATTTATTTAAAGTAATTTTTAGCTCAATATTATTAACCCTCTTACCAGTTAAACTCTGTGGACCCAGTACCGGGTCCGTGACATCATCGACTTTTGCTTTAAGATTTAAAGGGCTAGCATTACACCAGACCCCCATAAGTGGTTTCATTTGAAAGTGTAGAATCTATATTTTATGCACATATGCATCACTTTGGTTTTTATTTTACTGTACAAAAGTAATTTACACTTAAATACACAGTATTTTGGAGACCCGAGCTATGTATTTTACATTGGTTTATTTTCATATTTTTCATATGACACATGTACAAGTTATAGCTCAAATGAAAGCTCTTGGTGGTGCTTATACGGTTCTAGCATTCTTTTTACTGAATTATATTTACATATTAAACAGTTGCCGAATGAATCGCCGTGTTTCCATGGCGCAGAAGTGAAAACAATACATTTATGATCACTTAGCAGCCCCAGATAGCACAGACAGCTGTCATCTCTTACCTTATGCTGTGTGTTTCAGGGCCATTTCCCCTCTGTTTTTTAGGTGATGTGCATAAGTAATCCTTTTTTATGTCTGATGTGATCCAAAAACAGATAATTATGTTTGATCAAACAAAAGAATAGTGAAAAATGAAAACAATGATCGCTCCCTGTGGCTTGTATAGCACCTCTCATCAGTTGGAATGCAATAACTTTTGCATAGATTATGGTAGAGACCTTTTTCTTTTTCCTATAATTACAGACGTGTGCAGGAACCACCTAAATTAATTACAGCTCGCTAGACCACACAGAACCTAAAAGATACACTTTCAAATTTGAGTTTATAAAAAAGAAAATACAAAAAGCGCCTCTTTTTTTTAGGTGTTTATTATAACACAAACAACATATACAGTTATTTTAAACACATTCAATAGTGTTTTATGAAAATTCAAAAGGTTTTCTTTAAAATAAAACCAAATTTTTGCATTTACACGTCTGCATGTGGATTTGGGATGCTTTTAAATTTGGGTAGGCAAAATCCAGGTGGAAATCCCTAAATAACAGCAGAGTTTAACTGGTTTAACAGTTTTTTGGATTGTCTACAGAACAAACCATCTTTATACAATGATTTACCTAATTACCCTAAATTGTCTAATGAACCCAGTTGTCAGCATGGCAAAAATAAAAGAAATCAGTTATTAAAACTATTATCTTTAGTAATGTGTTGAAAAAAAACCTTCTTTCCGTTAAACATAAATTGGGGGGAAAACATACAGTGGGGGGCTAATAATTCTGACCTCAGCTGTGTATATCTATATCACTAGAGGCTGTGCATAAAAATGAAATACCACATAAATTGTCAATTCCCTAATACACTGTGCTTCACACTTCCATTTGATCAAAGAAGGACTGATCCGACTCAAGACTGGAGAAATACACATCGTTCCTCCAGCGTCTCAGAGTCCCGTTCCTCTTTATTCAGCAGTGCGGTGAATAGAGGATTCTGGGAAGAGTTGTTAACCCAGAGAAAATGTAACCCTCTATTGTCCCGTCACTCAGAGGCTTCTGTTCAGAGCCGATGACAATGGAGGACCTCCTCATTTATTACGGATCTGTAGCGAAGCAGACGCTTTCTTATTTAGATTTTTTTGGCTGATAAGCGTGCTTGATATCCCAAGCTTTCTACCTCTGACAGTGCATATTTCTCTATCAGCTTTAGACATGGAAACTATGGGATTATGCACAGCAGTTCATGAGCGACGGTTGTACAGGCTCATTCAGCACCAGATTTTCCACACTATTGAGTAATAAGAAAGACCAAGTTGTTTTTCACCCACTTTCTTCACCGTTTTACCAGATTTTCATTTTTATGTTCACGTTCTCCATAGTAATTTGAGAACGTTTTAAACAAGACTGAGATTTGAGAATCAACATGGTGGCCTTTTTTGACATTGCTAATGCACAATGATTGTTACTAAACCTCTGCGTATATTGGAAGTTCACGGCTTTAGAGGAATTATCCTCTTTCCATGTGATTTAAGCAGTCGGTGCTACAGCAGGTGTCTGCTTTTACACACCTTTATAAGCCAGTGTTTTTTTTTTTTTTTTACGTTTTTTACTGGCTACAGGATTTCAGATGAAGGTGGGGAGGTCTTGAAACTGACAGTTTTATCTGTTTTTGTTTATCCAGAGCTCTTAAAGTTTTCTCTCATAAATCAAAACTGCATTATTTTTGTTGATAGTGTCATTTACTCCCTTCTGAAACCTGGTGAAGCTAATGTTTACTTATAAGGCCACATCTTAAAAGAGTACTGCACTTTGTTGAAACATATTTCAACTCCCCTATATTAAACCAGTTGAGTGTTACCACTTTTTTTTTTTAAATCCAAATAGCCGATTTCCAGGTCTGATGGGACTACTTTTAGCTTAGCTTAGCATAAATCATTGAATCTGATTAGACCATTAGCATCTCTCTCAAAAACGACCAAAAAGTTTCAATCATTTTCCTAATATAAGCTTGATGCTTTTGTAGTTATATTCTTTACTAAAAAAATGAAAAGTTGCTATTTTCTTGTCCGATATGTCTAGGAAATATACTCTCATTCCTGCTTAATCAAAGAATTTGCATCCA